CTAAAGTTTTCTTGTATGTGGACTAAAGAAATGAATAAACTGTCTGTTGTGATTACTGTCCCGAGCGCTTTCGGCTAATTCATTTGCCATTTTCATTTTATTCGTATCAGTGTTTATGTTTTAAGTTGTATTATATAAAATCGTAGTATACAAGATTTGCACAGAGAGAAGAGTAAATGTCAAAGGGTCTTCTTGTATACCAGATACTGTTTGGATAGTCTGGTCATGTTGTCAGGATTGGTGATGGGAGACTCCGGAAATATTTTATGGGCAGATAGCGAGAAGATAGAGGACGCAGCATAAACTAATGAAGCGGCTTAAGGCCCTGAAGATGTCTCCAATATTTAGAGTGGTAGATGAAATAAAATAAGGTTCAAAATAAATGGAACGTCTAATCAATACTATTTACATTGTTCGGACTATCGACTTCATCTTTGTTGCCATATTTATAACGTTTCAGCCGTTGTACGCTCCGGCCTTCTTCAGGTGGTTGGAATGTCGAACTGAACCCTTTATTTCGCTCGCTGGGGTAGACTGTTCTAGTTCCACGTGCCAGAACAGCCTCTTGACCCAGGGCAGCAATAACCCCTCAAGGCACTTGATGTGGACCTCCGTGTTGAGTCTGAGACCCTGTGGGAATATGAATGGAGGCATAACGTCGCCACTACAACTGATCGCTCCATACACCTTCGTAATCAATATTAGACCTATCCAAATTTTTCCGATTCCTCTGCACAGTCCATAGATTTATACCCAAACACTCTGAAATGTCCATATTGGAGCTTCTGGTGTGAATGCCAAACAATACAGCATGCAGGTTCCAAATTTCCGGCGGATTGAATTGTGTCATGGTGCTCTTTTTCTCACAAATGGTGCCTAACTGCCTCTACTATACTATGCAATCGACAAAATCAAAAACAAACAAGACGCATGCGCGAAAGAAAAATATAGAATGGCGACAATTTTCACATCGCACCCTGTGTCATATATATATATATATATATATATATATATATATAAAATTTATAACAAAAATATGTTATGAAATCACTACAAAAATAGCCATTTTGTTTCAACACCTCTGGTGTCTTATCAAGTGATGAACAAATAAATAATTATATTCGCTCTACTCTGAATTGAGCACTCTTTTAAGAATAGTAATTGTTGGTTATTGGAATTTATTCCGTATACACCAATCATATACTTGTATATATATATATATATATATATATATATATATATATATATAGTCATCCACAGAATGTTTTGCACTGTATCACAGCTCGTCAGTGTGGCTAGACATCCAATTGCCTCAAGCCAGGATCGAAACCCAACTCATTTGGCATCAGTTCTCAGAAGAGAGGAAGGTCACTTTTTACGTATTTATTTTTAATAAACACGCTAGTGACTTAGAGTGCTTGGTTCATAGAAGAGCTTTGCATTATCCACGGTAACAGTCACTGCTTACAAATTCGCGCTTTCCCTCTAAAGTACTCGACCGTATTTTATTTTTTCGGGTCGTATATATATATATTGGCAAACTTTCCCTGACAATCCGTTTAGGTGAAACCTAGGTAGGTTTGTCTGGCTCACTAGGTGTATCTAGGTCTGCTCTACGGTTGTATTGAGCTCTTTTGTTAGTTAGCTGTTACTCGTATCAGGGTTTTTTTCTTTTTGGGCTTCAGACCTGCATCTGTGCGATTTTTTGTCGACAGAAGTCCATGTTTGTAGCTCTTTCTTTTTTTTAAACCTTTTTTCCCTCGAGATTGATTTGATTATTGGCAAATCAAAAATTCGAGGGTTTTTCGAAAAAAGTCTAGTTATCTATATTTATATTTATATATATATATATATATATATATATATATATATATATATATATATATATATATATATTATGAAGACACGCACACATATATATATATATATATATATATATATATATATATATATATATATAGAGAGAGAGAGAGAGAGAGAGAGATTATAGGCGTAAATATAGCTAAATGGTTGTCAGATCAGATCAGAAAGTGAAATCGGCACTCGTGTTCAAATACCGGCTTTGTATGTATTTTCACGATTATGTCTTTGGAAAAGGCATGAATCCACATCTTTAGCTTTCAGCTACGGATGAAGAAGGCCGGATTTTCTAGGGTGGCGGCCTGTCTAGGGAAAGGATAAATTTACTATATTGATGCATCAAACCTCATTATATTATTTGTTGTGTGTAAATATTCCATGGGGTCTTTTTTAAAAAAAATAAATAAATAAGTTTTCCTTGTTGTTACTTGATCCTAAACAAGAGTCAACAGACATTAGAATAATGAAGTGGTTTCCTGTTACCGTCTCCAATGTTTTACATTCAGATTTGTTTTGCTTCTTTTTTTCTTTTTTAACAGGCTACCCCCAAGACTAGGGAGGTCAGTCTATAGTCTTTATCCCAACACAATGCACAGCTGAAAAGCGTTTTTTTTTAGGGTTTTTTTTTTGGGTTTTTTTTTTCTTTACTGGGATCTCTTAAATATAACTAAATGAGCGTGTGAATAGAAGTACTGTGGGGTGGGCACTTTGTTTGTGTGTGTGTGTGTGTGTGTGTGTGTGTGTGTGTGTGTGTGTGTGTGTGTGTGTGAAGAGGCACTTTGTGTGTGTGTGTGTGTCTGTGTTTGTGGAGGGCACTTTATGTGTGTGTGTGTGTGTGTGTGTGTGTGTGTGTGTGTGTGTGTGTGTGTGTGTGTGTGTGAGGCACTTTATGTGTGTGTGTGTGTCTGTGTTTGTGGAGGGGCACTTTATGTGTGTGTGTGTGTGTGTGTGTGTGTGTGTGTGTGTGTGTGTGTGTGTGCGCGCTCAGTGGGTACTTTATACGTGTGTCTGAGTGGATACTGTATGGGTGTGCCTGTGTGTGCGCGGTCACTCTATATGTGTGCGTGTTTTTTAAGTGTATATGTGTGTGTTTGTGTGTGTTGACCGGAAGTGCTAATAATAAACAATGTTTCAAGACTATGACTAAATATTTTCCCCGTCTGTACGATCAGGCCAGGTTCAAGAGTGGAGTACATTTAATTAGAAATAACGACATAGTTGGTGTCAAGAGCCTGTGGTTAACCGACCTTATTTCTAACTGTAAAAGCCAAACCCCACTTCCAGCTCTTTGACATCCTGCTGCTGCCTAAAAGACCCGGATGCAATTCCTACAATGCTCATTGGCATTCATTATCACTAATAAGCAGACAGGTTAACAAATATTTTGATGATATTAGCTTATTAAAAAAGTGTTACAACGGAAAGAAAACTATTAGAAAACAAGAGTTTGTGTGTGTGTGTGTGTGTTGCTTGATTTGTTTTTTACGGCTTACCCCCCCCTTTGCATATTATTATAAAGCCAGGAAATATGTTTAGATAGTAAGAATTTTTTGAGATAATGTTTTTTTTTTTGTTTTTTTTTTTTAGTGATACAAGTCTTATTAATTAACCCATAGCTGAGGGGAGAAGCGGTGGATTCATATCTTTCCAAAGGTTATTTGCGAATAAGTGAATATAACGAACCCAACTGTCACTGGATCTAACCAACGCCTTTATCCACTGTGCCATAGATCCAATGACATGACCCAAAGAGTGTGAGTTCAATACCCGGTTAAGACAGTGGAGAACTTTCAGAGAGAAATTAGCAGGAGATAACTGATAACTGATATCCATCAAACATGGCACATGGAATTAGAATAGTCTACCCCGCTGAGCGAAATAAAGGGTTCAGTTCGACATTCCAACCACCTGAAGAAGGCCGGAGCGTACAACGGCCGAAACGTTGTGGTAAATATGGCGACAAAGATGAGGACAATAGTCCGAATAATGTAAATAATGTACATAATACCTCATCTCAGAAATATAGACAGATTCTGATTCTTTTTCAACATATTCTCCTCCACTGTCAACGCACTTAATGTAATGTTTCTCCGCACTAATCTACCATTCTTCTTTGCACTGGTAACGTTAAGTTACAGTGTTATTGTTATGATAACAATGGACAGTTCCGAGAGGTAAAAAAAAACGATTCTGTTAAAGAGAGAAATACAACACTAATATTTGGGAAAATATGTTTAATTTTTTTATTATTATTGATTGATTCGTTTTCCACTGTTTATCAACACTTTGCAAGTTAATTAAAGCCAGAAAATTTTTTTAGATTTTAAAAATATTCTTTGAGATGATAACTGTTCGACAAAGAGTCTTTTTTAAGCGCTCTGATTCTGAAGATAAGCAACGTCGAGGCTTGTCAGTATATAGATGGGTGACCGCTTGGGAATATCAGATGCTGTAAATGTGGATGTGCGGATGCTGTAACGCATAATCGCCCGGAATTGATCATCGGAGCGCCGAGTTCCGATTTTTATTGGGATCGTTATATTCCCTTCACATTTGGGAAAAGTATGCATTCACCTCCACCCAGCTATGGGTTAATTAGCAAGACGTATCAATAAACCATTATTATCTCAAAAGAAATTTTCACAATCTAAACATATTTCCTGGCTTTAAATAACTTGCAAAGGGTTGATAAGTCGTGAAAAACGAATCAACAAACCATGACTGAAAAAGAGTCTGAAATTATATTATAATTTTGTTTATTCCTTCGTAAGTTAGTTGGTTAGCGCAAACGTTACGCCCTGTCATTACCCCAGATAAATGATGGACCATTCCGTTTTGATGACGCGGGAATAAGGGAAAATATCTCAAAGACGCTGTTTGGTAGATATTTTCCAAGCGTTGCTTAGATGCGGCACAAGGCCGAAAGTATGGGGCACCCAGTGAGGATCGAACTCACTACTCTGTCGTAACTGTTCTAGCGAGACAAGCTTGCTAACCATTACACCGCCTCGAGGTGCACAAGACGCTGTTTGGTATAATGGTTAGCAAACTTCTCAATTACGACTGAGTGGTGAGTTCAGTCCTCATTTGGGTGTCACATACTTTCGACCTTGTGCCACATCTAAGCTATGCGTAGAAAATCACCATAATAAGAAAGAAAGAAAGTTAGAAAGAAAGAAAGAAAAAAAAGAAAGAAAGAAAGAAAGAAAGAAAGAAAAAAGAAAGAAAGAAAGAAAGAAAAAAAGAAAGAAAGAAAGAAAGAAAAGAAAGAAAGAAAAAAGAAAAAAAAGAAAGAAAAAAAGAAAGAAAGAAAGAAATATAGCGATTGTGCTAACGCTCTCATGTGTTTAACATCTACTTCAGTGAAAGGAAAAACCTTGTTAGTTGTAAATCTTTTCATTTGTACCCTCTCCTTTAAATAATGACAAAATCAGCGAGGTACTAGACAATAAATTCATCACTAGAACCATAGCCCTAGATATATTTAAGGCCTTTGAAAATGTGTGGCATCCAGCTATGGAATCTCTAGCTGTATCAAACTTACAGCAACCGCCGTCTGTCTAACTCTCTGCATTAGCAGGGAGGAACCCGGACGAAGCTTTGCCGAAGGGCAAGGTTTCGTTCGAGGAGGTTGACAACTCTCGAACACGCATAGGCGGGTTTGAAGGCTATATTTTTGGCCGGGCCTACGGGCTCGGATTACCCACATTAAACTCGGCCTTGGTGCCAAATGCTACCCCACGTGGGGAGGGGGACAGCCAAATAGGGCTATGGAATCTCTAGAAGGACTTTCTCAATTATCAGGACCTTCTTGAAGGTCGTTGTTAACGGCCAGACATCGGAAGCCTATAAGACCACTGCGTTCCCCAGGGTCCCGTCCTCGGTCCTACCCTCTTTCTGATGTATATTAATGATCTGCTTAAGGTCATTACAACAGTTTATAGGTGAATGTGGAAAATCAGAACCTAGCAACTCATCTCTCCTCTGACATAGCCAAGATGGCTCAACAGGAGAAAAACTGTCAAAGTTAGGATGCTTGTCTCCATTGGTAGTTGCATAATTAAAAGAAAAAACTTGTAGTTCCAACGAATTATTTATTTTATGGAAATATTTTGACCAGCAGTTGCCAGTCATGGTTACTCCATAATTTGAGTAAAACATTTTGTTTATAAAAAAAAATAATAAATGAGAAAAGGATAAAGGAATAAAATGAAAGCCATTTGTGTGCAAAAAAAAACTAGAAACGCTTAAGAATTCAAATCAAGGGAAAAAAAACCGAGTTGATGATGTTTACGCTTTTTTAAGTGAGGGCCATTCCTTATTTGTATCAACTTGTTTTTTTTTGTTTTGTTTTTTTTTGTTTTTCCTTGATTTGAATTCTTAAACGTTTCTAGTTTCTTTGAAATGTTTTACTCAAATGAAGTAGTGACCAAGACTGCTAGTCGAAATCCCTATCTATAAAAGGCAGGATGTGTGTGTGTGTGTGTGTGTGTGTGTGTGTGTGTGTGTGTGTGTGTGTGTGTAACGAATGCACGGCCGCAATTTTCGACGGATTTGCACGAAAATTTACATGCACATGCTCCAAGTTAGCGGCAAGGCCAAGACTGACTTTGCATTTCCCAACTCCCATCGATTTAGCAAGAATATTATACCCATTATTTTTCTTACTTTTATTAAGTTTTCTTAATTTGATATGATGATATTTATCTAATCGATTAACGTTTGTAAAACAGTTTAAATTGAAACTAAATAAAGTAGAACTGATATTTATCTCTATCTACAAAAGGCAGGATGTGTGTGTGTGTGTGTGTGTGTGTGTGTGTGTGTGTGTGTGTGTGTGTGTGTGTGTATAACGAATGCACGGCCGCAATTTTCGACGGATTTGCACCAAAATTTACATGCACATGCTCCAAGTTAGTGGGAATGCCAAGACCGACTTTGCATTTTCCAACTTCCATCGATAGTGGAAATAATCGATTTTTTCATGCTTCTACGGCAGTTTTCATGTAGTTTGCGGCCATTTTCTATTGGCCAGCGTGAGAGCCAACAGCTGACTGACACGAATGTTAACTAGCATGCTGCATTCGTCACAAGTGGGAAAAATTTAAATCTGCATGGCACTTTACTCCAATTGGCTCATTCGCTTGCTTAAACTCAACGTTGATTCTGATTCCGCAGAACTGGGTTGGGTGTTTAAAGCTGATCGTTTTGTGTTCATTTTGTTTAGTTCTTTTTTCGTAACAGATTTAATGTTTAGTATAGAGCTTAGAAAAAAATTCGCAGTGTCAGAAGTAAGGCAAGAAGTAAGGCATGTAGCAACATCAGCACGGCAAAGGGTACTCCTTTAAAGGCAAAGAAGGGTAAAAATATTTTAAGTCAAGTGATAGCGATTGCTGTATGAGTCGTACAATTTTTGAATCAAGGACGGTCAACGCCGGGCCATGCTGCTAGTTGTTAATATATCGACTTGAGAGCCTTTGTGATAAAGTAAAACCTACATGATAATGTTTCCTTGTTTGGCTCCATGGCTTGGTATCCAGAACAGTAGATCATTCACGAGTTCTCGTTTTGCTCGCCGGCAATGTCCTGAAAAGCGCATTTTGCGTAAGATTGTAAAAAAAATATCAGATATGGGTCGATAGAGCTGTGATTTAGTTGGTTGTTGTCTCCGAGAGATATTAAGTCTTACTGCCAGGATCCCAGTATAGGTCCCATCAAGCCTAGACTCACGGGTTTTAGTTAATCTCTAGGCAGTGGCGCTATTCATTAACACCGTTGTGGCTCAAAAGAATCTCTGTTTGAGGTGGTCTGGTAGATCAGATTTCCAGATTACATACACTTTATTCAAAGCGGCTCAGGTTGTAGCTATGCGAATTTTCACATCCTTTTCAGTAAAATTTATTTCGCTTCCTAGGTATGAAAAGGATTCGACACATTTTAATGATTCACCTGAGACGGTTTTCTGGCTGAAGCTTATGAATCTACAAGATTCAAATTCGACAAAAAATGAACTATTGCTGTCATGTCCGAAATGGAGCTGCTCGATGATCACTTTCCAACCTTGATAGTGTTCAAAATCGTTTACGAGATCTTGTGAAGCTAAACCTATTTTCCACTTTGCAGCCTCTTTCCACACAGACGCAACTTTCAAAGCCTATCGCTACTCTATCACAGTTTCCATGAAAAATGTCCCGATACGTCCCATCTTTAATTTCAGTACTTCTGAATAAATATTCATATGGTCCGTAAATGTAATTCAAATCAAATTAATTAAATGAAGAGCAAATATGTGCATGAATTTTATTTTATTTTATTTATTTAATTAATTAATTAATTAATCAATTTTATTTATTTAACTATTTTGTTTTCTTAATGCTTATCAGGGGTGTATGGGGTGTATCGTCAGTGGTAGTACTTTTGCAGCAAAGTGGTCGACCCTGCTTTAATCGAGTGAATTGAAATGCGGAACGGCACTGATCCAACTCCCACACATGGCTCCAAGTCTCATGGGCACTACGAAGGTCACACCCCGGTCAACGGTATCGACTACATGTGCGATAGTAGTTGGATGGCTACCTGTCAGATGGTAGTTTTCCGACCCGACCGGTGAAAGGAAGCGCCTCTTTCTAACTCATCTGTGCCAAGCTACCCGTCGCCACTCTAGACGTTGGAGGTGCGCCTTAGAGGTCAACCGCTTTACCAGTGGGCAGATGAACTTTTGAGGGGCGGGACGGGTTAACCTCAATATCCCCAATGCAAAAGGAACCGGCAAACCACTGCACTATTTTGCCTTGAATGTTATCATAAACCACAATTAGATGGGAGGAGCTGATCACAGCGGTGCAAAATGCGCGAACTGAATGAATAAGGATGATGAATACTTATCAACCTTTTGCGGGTTATTTCTATCTATATTTCTGAAATGCGGTATTATGTACATTATTTACATTATTCGCACATTGGATAAAGGCGTTGGTTAGATCCAGTGACAGGACCCAAAGAGCGTGAGTTCAATACCCGGTTAAGGCAGTGGATAACTTTCAGAGAGAAATTAACACGACATAACTGATAACTGACATCCATTAAACATGGCAAATGGAACTAGAACAGTCTACCCCAGTGAGCGAAATAAAGGGTTCAGTTTGACATTCCAACCACCTGAAGAAGGCCGGAACGTACAACGGCCGAAACGTTGTGATAAATATGGCGACAAAGATGAGGACAATAGTCCGAATAATGTAAATAATGAAAATATTTCTAGATTGTAAGAATTCTTTGGAGATAATAATGATTTATTGATAAAAGTCCTACCAATTAACCCATAGCTGAAGGAGATGGAGTGAATTCATACCTAATCAGAATTTGATAAACAATTATAATGTGGATATAAAATGGGGGATCAATTTTGTATTGCAATCAATAAATAAACTGATCCCTCACTCGATAGTTTCTATACATTTATATTCCAGAGTATGTAAAGAAATCTAAAAGACATGCATGTACATCAGTATTTGATTGATTCGTTTTTTACGGCTCGTCAACCTTTTGCGGGTTATTTAAAGCCAGAAAATATTTTGAGATTGTAAGAATTATTTGGAAATAATAATGATTTACTAATACAAGTCCTGTGAATTAACCCATAGCTGAAGGGAGAGGTGGCGGGTCCATACCTTTCCCAAGGGTATTTGCCCGTAAGTGAATATAATGAACACAGTGGGAATTGGAACACGGCTCTCCGATTTTCAATTCCAAGTCGTTATCCATTACACTACCCGCGCACATCTAAGCTTACAGCACCTGGTATTATGAAGCGGTTACCTATCTAAGTACTGGCCAGGCTTGACGTTGCTTAACTTCTATTATCGTACGAGAACCGGTGTTTCAAGGTGATAGGTCAGTAGACCCATGAATGAATATAAAAATAATCATTTACATATATTTTCATATTCAATATATAATAATTTGCATTAATCCATATTTACATATATATTTGCGAGTGAACGCACAGCGGTTCTGGGCGAATGCAATAATTACACATAATCTCTTATTAGGGTGAGATACATTTTTCAATATTATGGACATCTTAGAAGTGTAATTGAAGTTAATAAAATTCTTCTTTTTTTGCGCTCAATATTTTTTATTGTTATTATCCTACATGGAACCACCATATTTCATAAATCATGGGAAGTTTGTAGTTCAAAAACAGTAATTTAACCTTGCTAACCAGACGCTTCCTATGTAACTAAATAGTATAACACGCCAAGCTATGTTCTGTGTATGATACGGTTTCGATTCTTGTTGGAGGACATATATTTTCTTTGTGATTTCTCGGACATTTAAGCCGATAAATGTTGCTAATACTGTTTATTATAGACAGAGCATTTACTTATATGTATCTAAAAATAACGTATAAACATATATATATATATATATATATATATATTTTGATAAACGTGCAATCAATTTACAAATTAATGAATTATTCATACAAAAACAAATACAAAGGTTAATGATCTAATTGGCGAGAAATCCATCGTCGCAAACAATTCAAATAATATACAAAAACCTCCGAACCTGTTATGAATGAAAAGATCCTTGTTTCTATAAATTTCTGTTGCATTAGTTCTTATTTTACTACAAGCTTTCGTCTGTTCCTACAGACATCTTCAGGTATAGAATAGATGTTGTTCTTGTTTTTTCTCTCAGTAATAAGAGGACAACGAAAATATATGTATTGTTGTATACATATATATATATATAACGTCTGCCTTGAAACCTTATATTATTAATGAAAACTTACCTACCTAGAATCATAGTACTCTTTAAAGTAGACCCCTTGTTACCTAGCACACTTATCCTAGTGCCTCTTCTACTTTTCAAGACACTCTATAAAGTGTCTCTTTCAGGATTATCATTGAGAGGAAAAGCTAAATGTCACCAAGTGTTAAATCTCGACTGTAGGAGTGGACTACCAAATGTGTTCGTTCTATTCGTTAGCCTCTCCTCTAAAAACAGCTTCTTATGATCCGAAGAATCTACACGTTTGGTCATCGGTCATTGCATATGCGACACAATGTCATTCTGACGGAAGGATATCTTATTGACAGTTGAGCATTAAATTCCTCTCTAATTGGCTGCCAATTTGCCTTAAGGGCGTAACCGGCCTTGGGGATATTCAAAATAGATAAAAACGTCCTAGAAATAATTCTTCTTCTTATATATATATATATATATATATATATATATATATATGTACACATACCTACATTCGAACAGCAACTTAAAGTTTCGTGGTTCTACCAACTCGTCAGACACGACGAACTATATACAGTTGCTAATATCTAATTATTTGTTTTATATTCACACACACACACACATATACACACATACCCACACATATATATACCAGTGTGTGTGTGTGTGTGTGTGTGTGTGTGTGTGTGTGTGTGTGTGTGTGAATTGGGATCCAATATGGATTGGAATCCGTCAGAATGACCTTTAGGACTGTGGTAGGATCCACCTAATTTGCATAGTGTAGTACCGAGCATATAAATATGGTTGGTACCTGGAAGAGAGGGAGGAATCAAGAGATTCAACCAGAGACTCTGCCCGACTGCGACTCAGTCAACACATTCTCCAGGAACGGTCTTACCAGGAATATACAAAAGACTATATGTAAATATTGTGTACACTTTCTTGTTTCAATACATTTTGTTCTAAGTACATTTTGTGTTGCATTATTATTCCATGCATTAGTCAAGTTTCAACAAGGACAAATAGGAAAAGTTCGTTAATCTAACATCTTTCCCTTTTATTTAAGCTTCATCAGAGAATGAGATATGGAGAAAAAGAAGAACAAGATTCTGGTTTGATTTTCATTTGTTAATCAGGCTTCACGTGCATTTGACTTATTAAACAACGTTCAAATAATTTATGATGTTCCAAATAAGGTCAGATTTTGGACAGGCATGCACTTAAATATTCTTCGAAGGATACAAACCGTGATCGATTTTTTTTAATATTGTTTATTACAGAATAGCTTGTTTTTTTTTTATATTATATTATATTATACAGGTAACCCCCAAAATGTATAGCTGGCCACTCGCATTTGAGGATATCCGTCTACTATTGCAGACGCTTGGTCACGCGCATTTGTATTTATTCAACACCCACAGAGCCCACCTGTGCTTTATACTGCAACAATGCTGAGCAGACCTTTGTTACAGTTTCTGGGAGAGATAGTGTTATCTTGCGTGATTAACAATTTGAACAAGGCCAGCACACTCAAACCCTCGAACACGATGACTTGCGACTTCGTGCTAGCACAGCTATCGAAGGGTTCGGTCTACCCAATTTCACTCAAAAGGCTTTGGTCAAACCGTAGTATAGTTTTTCAGGCACTTTCCAAAGGTGCCGCACGCTGGGATCGATTCCTCCAGTCCGATAACATCAGGAAGTCTCTTGATCATGGTGAGATTCGAACCCGGGTCTCATGGTCAGAATGCGAATATTCTAACCACTAGGTCACGTGACCATAACAGAAAAGTACTCACTCTTTAAATGACAATAAATGCAGTGTTTATTAACTTGCAAACTAGATTAATGGTTAAAATTAAATATTAAATGCATGAATCTGAAAAAAGAAAACATTCAATAAGTTATAAGTAGTCAAAAAGTGAGTCTAGTTTTTAGGGACAACCTGTATATTGTGTATACGTTTATTAATTATAACAATGAAAAAATCGTATGATAAGTTTAAAAGGGTTTACTGTGCTTTGGACTTCTTTTGAAAACAATTTAATTTTCGCGGCCTGCCTACGATCCTCTGACGTCACACCAGTGTGCTGCGGCACACCGACTGAAAATCACTGGTTTAGATATCTGGACAAAAGGATTTCAGTTTAAACTGTCACCACGAGGATATTTATAAATTATACACCGGCATGAGTGTTCTTGGGAAAGGTAGTGAATTATTTCATTTTGCCTTCTTTAAAGTTTTGTCTTCCTTTTTAAAGAAATAAAAACTTTACTATCGGCATATTAATAATAATAATAATAATAATAATAAAGTGTACTCACAAGTACAGCCCACACCTTATGAAGGGCTTTATTTATGTAAAATATGTGTGATTTTTTTTTCAAAACTGCTCAGTGAAAAATGTCATGATGCCATTTCTGACCTTAGGTCTCTGGTCGAGACCCGGAAAGAAATGAGTAACCAAAGGAAATAATAATAATAATAATAATAATAATAATAATAATAATAATAATAATGATAATAATAATAATAATAATGATTAAAATACGCAAGAATTGACCAGAAAAGACCACATGCCTCAGTGTGACTTTTTCTTGATATATATTTTTTTTTTTTTACAGTGATGTTCGCTCTGTACAAGGCTCGGGAGCCACTCGAGATAGAGGATGACAGTGTAAGAGGCACAGTTTATGTGGATATGTGGGGAAAATAACGGTTAACCCTCGACTTGAGCAGGCTAAGATTATAGTGATCGGGAAAGCGTCTTCTTCATAGTTGATTCCACAAAACAGTAGTTCATGGGAAGTGATAGAGCTCCTGCCCATATATGGCAACGGTACTCTATTTTAGGCCTGATCTAGCTCTTCTAAAGGTAGGCGATATCAGGAGGAGTCAGGTACTTACTGGGGTGGTACAGAGAACCGACCATTTTTCCAGCATCTTTCGGGTTAGATCGTATGTACGAGTTCTACTTGAGTCCTGGGTTGAGTCCCAATAGGCACTCAAGGCACGGATCTTCCCTGCCTCTTAATAAAATAAAATAAAAATAAAAGCAGATAGAGACTGGATGCTAGTCTCATATTATAATCCTTCTGCCGCCTCACGGGTGAGAATATGTTCACGCATGCGCAGTAAATTTTTTTAGCTCTTATTAAAACAAAATTGTTTTCGTCAAACTGGATTAGAGTCTCGTTCAAAGTTGGGACATTGTTTAAAATTCTCTTAATTTAATTTGACAACCAGACAACAGATTGGCTAAAGATCACAAAAAAAAACAAAGATAAAAAAGGGTGCCAAAAATAAAATCAAAGCGGATGAATAAAAATACGAAAGAGTGTTGGAAATTCTCGATTCGACCCAATACCGAAAATATGGCCAAATGTCTAAATATCTGTTCTTTTTTCATTTCTTTTTTTTTTCAAAGGACTTGGGCCGTGAACTTTTCAGCATCCGCTTGTATATACAAACAACAATATAGAATAAATTACGAAACAAAAGTGAACTGAAATATAGACAGAAAGGAGAAAGAAAAGCCTGAATTCTCTGTTATAAACAATCATAGACTCAAAAAATAGTTAAAATAAAGAAATTAACAACGAAAAATCAAAGCGGGGAAAGAAAGAAAAAGAAAGAAAGAAAGAAAGAAAGAAAGAAAAAGAAAGAAAGTGCTTAATTCTATAATACATAAAAATTATATGAAATAAAAGAATTAAAAAGACGGAAAAATTGAAGTGTTGTTAGAAAAGAAAGTAAGAAAGAAAGAAAGAAAGAAAGAAAGAAAGAAAGTGCTGAATTCTATAACAAAAATTATATGAAATAAAAGAATTAAAAGACAGAAAAATTGAAGTGTTGTTAGAAAAGAAAGAAAAGAAAGAAAGAAAGAAAGAAAAAGAAAGAAAGAAATGCTGATTTAGGAAAGGTTCTTTCTTACCTCTAAAAGCAGTAGAAGACTTTTTTCTTTATGAAATTTTTCTTTTTGCCGTTTTTTGCTTCCTTTTCTTTGTACCACTTTTTTTCCTCTTTTCTTTTCTTTTTCTTTTCGATTATATCTCAATTTGTAGACCTATCTGAAGAAGTGGTTGTCTCGTTAGTCTGCAAAAATCTTATCGTTGGCGGCAACAGCAGCGGTGGTTGAAGTCGGTCGTAAAAGAAGATAGTAGAAGCGTCCTCAAATTTGAACACGCTGCAAAATGGATCAGCAAGGGATTCGCTTAGCCTTTTATACAAAGATTAAGAGAAAAACAAGACGACCAGTTACGCCTTCAGTATCGATCTGTTCGCCCACTCAGATGTCTAACTGAACCCCACCCCTATTACATTTGACTGCTGTTTAGAGGGGCGGGTGCACGTCCTCCTATCAGAAACAGTTCCTGCTCAAGACAAAGTTGTTGTTTTTTTACGATAGCATCGCGTTTTACTTGGGGATGGGGCTGTGTCGTGGCTCGTCTGGTAAATATGTTAGCTTTCTGATTTATTTAGTCGATCCTTACAGCTGGAATCTTTCGTCAAGTCTTTAATGATACAATCCTACTATAACTATTAATTATATTCACCGACTTAGTTCTTTACAGGTATGTTTTTTTTTACAGGTATGAATGCATCGTAAACAGGTAGAAAGAAAAACAGAGAGATATTTGTAAAACAAATATTGACAACAAAAAAATCACTTAACTATTCGATAGGATAGTGTAATCGATACCGTTTCGGACTGAGAAATCGAAGAGCCAATTTTGAATTCCAATCGGGTTCGTTACTTACGCTCAAATATCTTTACAATGGTATTCACCCTGTACAAGGCCCAAGAGCTACTCGAGGTATCGGGTCACATAGGGAAAAGGCTTTAGAAGAAACCACAAACCCAATCCTATGCAGAAAACAAGGGATAAAACTCTACTTCAGTTCAAATAACCGAGGAAGAGTATGAACAGGACGATAGGTGGACCTCTCTACTCTATTGAGAAAAAAATAATTCAATAGTAAATAAAAGTTCAGAGTTTTAGGATTCACACCTTTGGGAAAAGTATGAATCAATTTCTTACCTCCCCCAGCTATGGGTTAAATAATAGGTGCTATATTTCGAAAAATCAATGTTATTCTCAAAAAATTGTTAATGCAATATTCACTTGCAAAAAAAAAAAAGAATTTTTCTTACAATCCAAACTGTTTCGGTTTTAAATAACCTACAAAGTGTTGATAAACCGTTAAAAAGCAAATCAACCCATTATTCGCTATAATTTTGGGTAATCAGAATAATGGTATAATGACATTATACCAGAATGATATAATGACTTAGGTATGAAATCTCGTTTATAGAATAATGGTATCAGAATAATTGATGGGTATCACAATGATAACGATCGTCTATATTTTATTTTCTTTGCCTTATATCGGATTTTGATCCTAGTTTTTCTTGTGAATCTGCTTTTTGTTCTTTTTTTACTTTTGGGAAGACTGTGTCATGCGAGAATTTAGATAAAATGCAATGACTATATATTTGGAGAAAAGGGAATGTCTACTATATAAATCAATACCTGAACTCTTATCCTTCACCTAGTTCGAACACTGACCCTGAGAACAAGAGAAAAATGCAACAGATGTAACCACCAAAACACACTCAAAGAACAAATGATGCATTTGTATATATACCTCAGTATATGATTACAGTTGAAAACTCCTACGTGCTGCAATGGTTAGCAAGCTTGTGTCGCTAGAACAATTACGACTGAATAGTGAGTTCCATCCTCACTAGGCAACACACACACACAAGCACGCACACACTTTCGGCCTTGTGCCATATCTAAAATACACTTAGAAAAATACCATACATATTTGGAATTTATAAAAATTATGATCTATAATATTGTTTAACGAAGAAAGGAAAAAGTGTCAAAGGAAAACATGCGTCCCTGGATTAAATTATTTTCCGAGGATCTGGTTTGAGAATATTTTCGAAAAAATAAAAGGAATGTTTTAATCTGCATTTACAGAATTATCCCTACTTTCTTAATCCACAAGTAAGTTCATATATATATATATATATATATATATATATATATATATATATATATATACACACACATAATATGAGTTTATTTTGCTTTTTCATTATTTTTTATAATTATTCTATTTGTATAAATGACGGGGGCGAAATATTGTTTTCTATAAACAATAATCTATCCATCATTTCACTACTGAAAACTGCAGATATTAGCCTGTATAATTAATCGTTTAAGACTTAACATGTTTTCTCGAAAGATTTCAATATGTTAATAACATGGATGTAGTCACGGCGGGTACGTACTTTCCCCCCGAACCTACTGACCTCGCAAACTTTATTGAGGTCTCCGAGTAGTGCTTTTTAAGCCTCACTATTCTCTTACCAGTTGCTTTTTTTTTTCGGACTATATTTATATGCGTTACAAATTAAACTACATATAATTGACTATAAAAGGGTGAACATTTTTCGCCGATTTTGATGTCATTCTGAGATCTGTTTTTTACCTAAATCCGTGAATTTATTTTGCTTATGCTAAGTCCCGATAAAAGCATTATATTCACTCATATTATATTCACTCATTTTTATCCATAACGTTGAATATGTTAAAATTATTCAACGTTTTAGCGAGAAAAATCTCAAGTTGATGTTAAAATTGCTGCAAAAAATTGTTGATTTATTTAAGATGGAATGATCTATTATGACATGTTTCTAATTTGTATTTAGATACATTGTATTTATTTTCAATTTTTCTAATTGAATTGTTCACCTATATTGCGTAAGATCTATTATTGTGCAGAATTAGGTTGCAATAAAATTTGTATTTTATATGAATACTACCTTATGAAAATTGAGATGTAGTACAATGGATTTGGGGGTGAGGCTGTATCATAGATTCAGGGGACCCACGAGACTCTTGTACCGACCCTGGATGTAGTAATGATTTTTAAACACCTTCCTCGCTAATTATTCTCGGTATATTTTAACCAATGAGTTGTTAAAATATACAATGATTTAACATATCTTTAACTCGTTTAAATTTCAGATTAATTCATTGTCTGTTGAAGGTGACAAAAAAAAAAACGAAAAAATTTTGAACGATGCTGGAAAAGTGATTTATTAGTCTCAGAGATCATTTCTTCCTTATTGTTAATTTATACTGCATATGATTTTATCTATATACTTAGGTAGGTCAATAACTGCTAAGCCGAAAAAAGCAATTTACAATTTATATTTCAAAGCGGACTTTTTGAAAGAATTCACTTAATTTATTTGTGAATATTAATCCACTTGATCGAAGATTATGCAGTAAAATTTTCAGATTAAAATTCAGCTACACCAATAAGTCTGTAGCTTAATTATGACAAGTGAATATATACACAGCCATTGTCTTCCAATTTGATAGAGTTTTTTTGTTAAAACTTACACTTGAGCCCAACAAGTATGGCCCCAAATGTAAGTGTTAGCGTAAAAAATGTTCATGATATAAAACGGTTGTATGTACCTCTTTTCTATTACAATAATTTTTTATAGAAACAATTATCGTTTGTAACCGATCACCATAAGATTATAATTTTTTATTACATGGGTGAATTTTTCATAGTAACAATTACTGTTTGTAACCGTTCACTATAACAATATAACTTTTAATTACATGGCAGAATTTATATAATAACAATTACCGTTTGTAAGTGTTCGCTATAAGATTATAATTTTCTATTATATGGATGAATTTTTCATAGTAACAATTACTGTTTGCAACCGTTCGCTATAAGAATATAATTTTCTATCATATAAATGTATTTTTCATAGTAACAATTATTGTTTGTAACCGTTCGCTATAAGAATATAATTTTCTATTATATAAATGTATTTTTCATAGTAACAATTATTGTTTGTAACTGTTCGCTATAAGAATATAATTTTCTATTATATGGATGAATTTTTTCATAGTAACAATTACTGTTTGTAACCGTTCGCTATAAGATTATAATTTTCTATTACATTGATTAATTATTCTTAGTAGACTTACCATTTGTTCGCTATCTGATTATAATTTATCTTTTATTTTCAACATATAAACAAGAAAATATTTTTGAAATTTCCAAAGGCAATTTCACAGAACAATAATTCCTATAAAATAAGTTTTCTATATTTCATATTTCCACGTTGTAAACTTGCCAGGAACAAATGAAATCTATTTTTTTTTTCTTTTAGGCGACTAATTGCTATTGTAAAGTTACTGTACATAACCGTCATCACTGAAAATGAACCTTGAAGCACGGGAAAAATTTGTTAATATCAAATAAAGAATTTTTAACTGACAACAAAAATTGTAAAATAAATCTTTCTTACTTATACATTTCATTTGTTCCAGCTTTGGTATAATAAGTTTTTTATACTAATATTCAATCAATACAAGGCCCTAGAAACACTCAAGCTAGAACTTTACTGAATGAGGTGTGGGATATGAACGTAAGAGGGGGGAAATCGGAAGAGAAAATTATGAAGATATGGAAGATAGCTAACGATTGACCATGGAATTGATGAGGTTAAGACTGTACTGATCGGGGAAGCATCCACTTGGGAGTCAGTTCTACGATGTATCTGTTCTTGGGAAGAAACTATCTAAGTGGGACATCCTTTTTAGCAATGAAATACGTAAGGAATTAGGGGGATTAAATCCTGTGGGCATAACAAGCGAGTCTTAGCTGCAAAGGCCTGAACTGGTGGCACTAAAGAATAAAGCTCGTCTGAACATTGGCCGTGAAAGTAGCGACAGACACGCGACTTTGCGACTGTGGAGAAAGAGGATGTAGGGTGGAAAATAAAACACCCTCCCCATGTAAATCGAATCTAATCGTGCTTTGGTTTTAACTTTCTACTATCATGGTGAACAATTGTAATTTTAAGAAGTCTCTTTTCTTTGACCGTCTACCGAGACTCACGTTCACCCCAGACTACAAGTGAAACGCGTACATACAACTGGGAAAATGGTCGATTCCTTTTGCCACTCAACAAAATACTTGACTCCACTTGCCATGCTCTATCTTTACAAGAGTCACATTGGGTCAAAAAAAATGGAGCATTACTGCCATATCCTGTTTAGAGCTTCTCACTTTCCAGCCTTGATAGAGTCAAAAAGCCTCTACGTGACCTTATGGGTGGTGAATTATTTTCTACTCTGCAACCCCTTCCCCACAGATGAAACGTTGCAGGCCCCGCGCCACTTTATCACCATTTCCATGGCAGTTTTTCTGACGAGATACATCCCTTAGTTCCACCAGTCTTATGGCCACATTACGTTGACGTACAATCACCGAAGTCAAGCAACATCCAGATCGGTTAATACATACATAGGTGATCGCTTGGGATTAACAGATGCTTGGATATCCGCGTTGTATAATGGATAA